TCTCCGTCCCGACGCATGGCCCTCTTTTAAGTCTAGAGCATCCCTTGCATTTGCACTCAGTCACATTCCTTTTTGGAAAATTCAATTTGAAGAGAGAAGTGCTAACAAAGGAGCCTTCCTTATTGCTCAAAGTGTGACAAGAGAGGATCGTCGACAATCATACGTAGCTTCGGGCTACCCTTTTTGGTTACATGATTTGTTCAATGAAGAGATGTCTACTACTTAGTTGTGGTTCCTTTTGTATTCTCTTCGGTGTAGGTGATTGTCTTGGATCCTCATCCTTTTGATCGGATTGTAATCTGGTTTTCTCAAGTTATCAATATATATCAATATTAGAAAGACTTGAGTTATGATTCAGTAAGGAGTACCAAATAGTTTAGCTTTTAGTATCGCTTCTGGTAACAGTAATCCTAGGCACGACATAGGTTACTATATCCGAAACCACCATCAAAATCAAGGTCCAACTCTCCTACCAAATTATGATCAATATATGAACCACATGCCAAATTTACAAAAACATGATGATCTTTACTTATTCTATGTAAAAATGTATATATATCACATTTTTGTTGTTCATTGACGCTCAAAATACATTGATAAATGTATATGTCAGAGACTAAGAAGAACGAAAGAAGAGACAAAGAACAGAAATATCATCCATGGCGATGCTTCTTCTCTTCCTACGCCAAAGCGTCACAGCTCTCTCTACCAATCTCTTTGCGCTCTTTCTTCTCTCTTTAACTCCTCTTACTATCTCCACTGCCTCATTGTTCGTCATCACATCCCACATCTACATACATCAGTTACACAATTATATGATTTATCAATCTTGACTTTGATTCAAATGTTGAGGAAGTTGATATATTATTACCCCATCAGTGGCCAAGATTAGAAACTGGTCCTTGTCGGTTATCTTTCGGTATGTTACTTCCGGTTCAGAGACTAAACCGAAGTCTTTAAGGCAGTAATCTCCGAATGCTCTTGAAACAGCTAAACCGAGTGATCCTCCATTAGGCATACCCACCCGGTACACTCCCGGTTCATCGTCTAGGCAGAACAATCGTCCATCCGATTGTTTTATCCGTTCTGCTTCCTCTGTTTAACCGGAAAATGATCACATACCAATTGTTAATTCCTTATTTCTTGTGAATAAAATTAATCGTAAAATATGGAAAGGCTTCTACAACTATACCGGGGATGTTCGGTTTAAAGTCTACTGAGAGCTGAACCGGCATTAAACCATTTCCATCATCAGAAGTTGTTGCTATTACTGCTCGTGAGTCACCCGCATTTGCTATAACAAGATGATCGCCCTTAAAAAATCAAAATCAAACTTCAACATTTAGCATCTTTTAAATGAAACATTATTTACTCACCAAATACTATACTATATATACACCATAAAATGAATAGTTTTTATATGGTTACTAGAACATATGTTTTTTGCTAAAGGTTTTAGTACTAGTATGAACATATGTATGTTACCTGCAAAACAGCAGTGAGAGCGGTGCAGCCGCTGCAGTAAGAATCAATGGAAGGACTGATCTTGAGATCAAGATCGATGACGGAGAATGTTTTCAGGCAAGCTTGCTTCCAAAGATCAAACGGAGAGGAACATTCCGGCGACGATGATAAGGAGGCAAGAGTTTGTTGCCATTGGCAAAGCAGAGAAGCTGGGAATGACTTTTTTACCCTTTTAGCTATCACATGTCCCCATGGTCCATGCCCATCAAACATCCCACAAAATGTTATGTCTTCTTGGCACCCAAATCCCTATATAAAATCATAAAACAAAATTTAACAAATCATATATACACAATTTAGTAACGCTACATGCATGTCATGATTCCATTTCTAACATATAACTTCGCCACTAATTTATAGATATCATAACTATATATTCCGTTTCATGGAAAGAAGAATTACCTAACATATAGTATTTATATAAAGTGTACCTCCCAAACAATTGCACGATCTTGGTTGATTCCTTTTTCACCTCTATTAGAACAAATAGAGGTAAATCTCTTAGAACTTTCGGAGCTAACAAAGCCCGAAGTACCGATCAAAGTCGAGTTCTTCTTTGAATCTTTAATCATCGATTTTGCGATCTCTCTCCCTCCATCTTCATCTTCCGATAGATTTTTACCTTTCTTCGTCGACACGGTTCTCGCAAATCCGTCCAAAAACGCTGGTAAAAGCACCATTAATTCTTTGTTGCTCTTATGATCCTACAATGATAAATATACGAACTTCATTTATAAGTTACAATTGTTCCGACTGATAGCTAGCAAAGGTTAAGATAACTTAGGTATATATTACACATGCACTCATAATTATAATCTTTCTGAAGAGGAACAAAAGAACAAAAGAAAAATAAAAACAGAACAAAAGAATAAAGAGAATCAGAAGTTTAATAGAAATTTACCTTCTCTTCTATGATCTGGTGAATATTCTTGATGGAGTTTCTCTGTTGAATATATTTCCTTTTGGTGGATTTACTACTTATAAGTTATAAGCTGGTGAGTCGTCTCTATGACTCATCATCATCTTTCGCTTTTTCTCCTTCGACTATTCTAAACCTTTTATTTTAATACAAATACACATATACATTCTTTTTGCATGTCGATAAGGACACGTATATGTTATGAATAAAGTTGACGACAATTTTTATCTAAATTAGTTATAGTTGAATGTTATAACAAATGGGTTATATACTTATATATATTGTTAGTTTAAAGAAATGTATACGTATCCCGTTGATAAAATAAGAGTCAATTAAATAGGCAACATAACCTTGAAGATGCAGATTAAAACGTGTGTATGTGTCAATGTGTGTGGGTATGATTATAAATTTTTTGGAGAAAATGGGCATTACGGGAGTGTTTGGCGAGTGAAAATGTTAATTTCAACGCAATCATCAAACGCAAGAAAATGAAGAATTATTATGTTTGGGGTCAAATAACACAAACAAAAAAAGCAAGCGTTACAACAACCACAGTGAATAACCAATCAATGTTTTATTTTTCTTGTCACCATATATAATAAAGCTTAATTAGACCGACAGATGAATAAATTATAGCTAGTTAATACCTCATTAGGATAGAGATGTATATATATACTTTTATATAAGAAAATTTCTAAATCAAATTTAAATGTGGATGTGGAAGAAAGTTAATAAATTAACGAATGTGGTGGAAATATAAAAAGATATCATGTGGGGTTTGTTAAACAACAAGGACTTGTCCAAAAAAAGTTGTGGCTGTGAGAGGCTCTCGAATCTGAAAGCTAATGGTAAGTGCCTTTGATCCGAAACAACTCTTATATCTTTATAATTTTTTTTTTTTTTTACACCTTGTCAAATGATAAGTTCCTATATCATTTTAAATGTAATAATATGAAAACCCGACATAGTTACGATATATATACATACTTACACAAAACTAACATAAATTGTAAAACCGTTGAATATTTTGTATAAACGAGTTTTGAGGTCGTAATCTAGATCTACCATGAAATTTTTTTACATACCGTTTACGTTTTTATGCTGCGACGACTAATGACCTAAAAATAGCTAAATAAGTCTAAGCAAATAATGCATCATAATAAGATTTTTAACGTTCTTTTTATAACGTTTAGGGGTCATATATATAACTAAGATACGTATATATATTTCCCTTACAAAAATGTAAAGGAGAAGATATATTAATACATATATTATATATATACAAGAAAGACATGGGCTCGTATAGGTCTGGGCGTTCGGTTATCGGATCGGATCGGATTCGGTTCGATATTTTCGGATATAGATTCTAATATTCATACGGATAATTATAGAATTCGGATCGGTTTCGGTTAGGATATTTCGGATTTCGGATCGGTATGGATATGATATTCACTATCCGATTTAACCAAAAATCTAAAAATAATCCGATTAATCCGAAATATCCATATTGAAAGATTAGGGTTTTATGCTTATATGCTAGAGGAGTGGATCCCGTATTGTTAGGAAAATCGAGATTAGGAAAGTGGATCACGTATTGCTAGAGGGAGAAATCGAGATAAGGGAAATGGATCTCGTATTGCAAGAGAGGACTAAGGTTCTAGAACTTCTAGAGAAGAGTTCGGATTATCCGTCGGATATCGGATCGGATCGGGTATTATCCGATATCCATGGATATAGAAATCAAAACCGATCGGTTAATTTATCGGATACGGTTCGGATTTAAATCCGCTTTTTGCGATTCGGATCTGGTTCGGATTTTCGGTTTCGGATTAAACGCCTAGGCCTAGGCTCGTATGCAAATTTTACGTGTGTATAGGGTTTTTACGTGTAAGGTTGTTTTTTAATTGTCTTTTACTTTGCTTTTCCGTGCACTTTATTATCTAACTATACATATATGTGCCTAAATATATGGATGTCCCTAGTGCATATTTTAGATTTTATACATGTCCACTATAGATTTCTTAGGTAATCCATAGATATCAGTGCTTACGACTTTAATATAAATTTAAGTTTGATTAATTATTAATTAAGATGGCGGACTTGCTTGGGTGGGTGGTAATAATGATATAGTGAAATAAAAGATAAAAAATGGAAAGAGATAATATTGATTAATTTTCACTAGATGGAATATGCTAAACGCATGGTCACAATGTAACTAGCAAACCAAATATATTTCTTACTTGGGAAACTATTAAATAAGATCATGTAAACATGTTACAACGCTATGATACTTTGATTTCTTTTAGTTTTATCTTTTAAGTAATCACCGATTAAGCCTATTAGTCTGTCCGTTTTGCTTTCATCGATTTTAATCTTTCTAAAAAAGATTAATGTTGAATTTGTTAAAAAGAACTCATAACAAAACTAAGTTTTCTTTTGTTTTTGGTTTCATTTACTTTCAGAACAGAACAAAAATTAAACTTTTCGTATATGACTTGTGTGTTGATTTGATCACCAAATCCTCCACATGCTATGTATTACTTTTCATTTGATTTTTTTTTTTTTTTTTGTCAGTTGAGACACATAACACACAAATAGATACAAACAGGCTGTGAACAAAATAGGACACAACAAGGAGATGCAAGTGGTAAAGATGGAGTTGTTTGATTAAGAGACAAACAAAGATAAGACCCAAACTCATTGTCACATCATATTTTCATATTCACATGGCACCTCGTGGATCTCGACACCGACATTATATTATTCACTCTTATTTCGCATAATTACAAATCATATATGTGTGTGTGACACATTCAAAGTTATAAGATAGTATGTAAATATTTGACTTAAGAAAATGACCTGTTTCTTCCTTTTTTTCTTTACCTCGGAAAAGAGAAACCAAAAACTAGCAAAATGGCTCCCCTTCTGAGTTTCCTCCTGTTTCCACATATCACATCCCTATACAAACATCTTTTAATTCGTTCTCATAAACATATGAGATTAAATGGTTAAAGGTAGCAATGAAGTATTCTTCGTGTAGAGCGGTCACTGAATAAGTCGGCAGTCAAGAATTGATGTCTGATCTCAATGGAAGACTTGAGGGGAGGCGTAGTATTCACTCTCATTGAAAACCGGTCTTAGATCTTCTTTACACATGAAATCTAAAGGGAAAGAGACGAGATGTCCCTTTATCGACTTTAGTCTGTCCATTGGATCGCTTCTCTTGATGTCTCCATTGTGGTAAGACTCCAGCTTCTCGGGTGCTATCCCCAAATCGATCGTTGTGTGCCCCAGTTTCTCTTTCCAATACGATAGGCTTTGTCTGAAGGCCATTCTGCATATATTCAAGAGGTTTCACAATCCAATGCCATGGAATAATCATAATCCGGAATCTTTTCGTTTCGAGAGGAAAAATGATAGCGTCCAAAGGTGAAAAAAGAAAAGATAGACCGGAATTGTACCTTGAATGGATGAGATCATTGGGCACACAAGAGAAGACATCCTGGTATATCATTGTGTTTGTCTGCGTTGGGATAAATAAGCTCACTGGTTATATCTGGTCAGTGAAAAATAAAAATTTCCTTGTATAATCAAGTTTCTAACCTTTGCGGTTGCCATCCATATCTCCTTGTAGGTTGAATCAGAGACTGGATCAATAATCTGGTCGATCTACAAAGAAAGATCACATTTTAGTAATAAATGCACATTTATAATCTTAAGACCTCTTCAATCATAACCATTGTTTGAAAGTTCATGCCGGGGACGTTCAGATCATCTTTCATCATTAAGTCAAGTACAAGAATAATTTCAATGGCTTTTCAAGTTTTCAATCTCTTAGACGACTTTGTAAGAACATTCTAGAGGATATTAAGAATATGATACAAACCTCTCCAGTACGAAGTCCAAGGTGTTCGGACCACAAAGAGAGCCTAAGACTTGAAGAAAATTTTCCAGCCTTCCATGGTTTTCCTGCCATGCGAGAATCTACGAACTCTGTGTCTTCGATTAGTACTCCAATCTGATATAAAGTATATAGAAAGCATGTTATGCTTTTTTAAGTTCAGCATACACAGTTATAAAAAAACTTGTTCAGCATACTTTTAAATCAAATCACCCCTGACTATAAAATCTGCTACAAAAGAAACAAATCTTTTTTTTCACAGACCTACTTCCTTTTTTCAACCTTTTTTACTTTATTTTTTTTAACATGATCTTCACCTTAGTTTCAAGTATGAAATAAGCTTTTGGAAATCAATGCTTAAGCACAATAAAGCACGTGAGTATAAAATATGACCTCAGAATCCCTTGAGCCAAGTAAACTCCGGTCGTTGATATTGGCAGATCCAATCAACGCGGCACGGTCATCAATTATCATGATTTTACTGTGAACATACACCTGCATTGAGAGAAAGATATTGCATTCACATTTTTAATACTCACTACCACTGCATTCAAAAACATATCTATAACAAGCATCCTATATGATGCCGTGATCACAATACAGGCAGTAATGTGAAAATCTAACCCTCGGTGATTGATTATATTGTTACCTGACTAGTGGCTACAGGTCCATCCTCAGAAAGTTTACCATATGCCCTAAGGCCATAGAAGGAAATATAATCATGAGCCTTTGCGCCAATAGTATTGTAAAGATTAGTCAATATTGAGTTATGTCCTCTGTATATGGTTCGATACTGCCAATGCATTATGGCTCTAACAGATGCTGCACCACTGTCGTCAATACCTCCCTGCCAGACACAGACGTTGGTTTAAAAAAATTGCATTGCAGGAGCAAATTTTTTGAAACAGAATACAGTTTTCTAGACAAAACTAACCTGGAAACCTGGGAGGAGAGGTATAACAACAACAACCCTGAAACTTTTCTTCTCATTATGGGCACGCAAAATCCTCTTGTACAATGCTTCTAAGATACGGTTCTTTATTGTGTCATCTCCAGAAAGGCCTGATATGAAAAACTGATTCTGGAGACAAATTGCACAACATGCAAACAGAAGTCAGAGAAATGAAGACAATGTGAACCTGGCAACTACTACGGTTTCAAGAACTAAGTTACTTTTACTATCGGAAATATAAAGTACTGATGATTTGCAAGGTGGATTTTGCAGGGGTAGGGTATAGGACTATTACTTAATGCTTAGTTTGTCCACGTTTGATAGGGGATTAG